CCCCTCCCCATCATAGCCCCTCAGCACCTTCCGGAATCCTCTCCACACCCTTCGGCCTCGCTGCACCCCAAAATTCATCACCCTTCTCATATGCCCCCCCCCCAGCACCCCCAGTAGAGCCCTCCCTCGTCTCCTCCAGTGTACCCCAAAACACCCTCAACCCCTCGGTGCCTCCCCCGAGATCCCATGGTCACCCCCGTACCTGCTGGGGTTCCCCAGGGCCGGCCGGAGGAGTCCTCGGGGCGTTAGGGGCTACAGGGCTGGGGCTGAGCACGGGGAAGGTCTGGGGGTCCGGGGGCCATGGGCTTCCCTCCACGCCTGGCCGGGGAGGAGATGCGGCGTCAGCGGGGCTGCAGGGCAGAGATACCCAGAGCCACCACGGCCACAGACGGTCCTGCCCTGGCATTGCCACCCAGGGCATCACCCTGTCCCCTACAGCAGCAAACTCAGTGCACAAGAGGCTGCATCACATGGGATACCCTATTGCCTGAAGGGCTGTTTGCACCAATGTCCCCTTTAGTGAGGTGCCTTGTCCCATGAAAAACCCCATTGCATGTGAGGCGGCATCCCATGGAAAACCCCATTGCGTGAGTGGTTGTGTCACACCAATGACCCCATTGCATGAAGGGCTTTATCACACCAATGATCCTGTTCAGGAGGAGCTGCACGGCAGCCATCACCCCTTGCACGAGGGGCTGCACCACATGGAAAGCCCCATTGCATGAAGGGCTTCATCACACAAATTATCCTGTTGCACAAGGGGCTGCATCACACACACAGCCCCATTGCACGAGGGGCTCCATGACTAAAAAACCCCTTACATGAGGGACTCTATTGTACCAACAACCCCATAGCATTGAGGGGTCCTTTTGCATGAACAGCTGTGTTACTCCAATCACCCCATTGCATGAGAGCCCCTATTGCACCAACCCTGTTCCACAGGGGGCTGCATCACACAAAAAACCCATAGCACAAGGGGCTCTACTGCACCAACAACCCCATTGCATAAGGGGCAATGTGACACGACTGGCCCCACTGCACAAGGGGCTGCACCACATGAGAACGCCATTGCACGAGGGGCCCTATTGCACCAATGATTCTGTTCCACAAAGAGCTGCACCACACAAAAAAAAAACCCATTGCATGAGGGGCCCTATTGTACCAACACCATTCCATGAGGAGCTGCCCCACACAAAAACCCCACTGCACAACACCCTCAACCTCCCCACCAGACCCCATAACCTCATCACCAGCCCTGAGCTCCTTGCACTGGAGGGCACCGGGGGTTCCCCCAACCCCCCCCATCCCTGCAGCACTTCCCAGGGTTTCGGGCCTCCAAATTCCCGGGCCTGCCGCACCTGGAACACCGGGCTGGAATTGGTCACCAGCGCAGGGACACCGGCATGGAGCTGTCACCGCAACCAGCAGCATCCCCTGACTCCTGGGGGGACTGCAGCACCTCGGGACCCCATCCCCATCCTGCAGGGCCATGGCAGAGCCAGGGATGATGCTGTTCCCAGTTCCCCTGGGAGATCCAGAGCGTGGCRGGGCTCCAGCACCCAGCTGCTCCCGGTGTGCAGCCGGGGCCCTGGCTTCCCTCCAGAGCTGGATCGTTTTCTCTCCATTCTGCCAAATTTATCACAGGAAAATGGGCTCCGACTTCTTTTTAATATTCGGGTGGGGAGGAAAAAGCCGCAGCGAGCAGGGATGGAGGGGAAAAGTTTTCCCCCCGGCCTTTCGCTGTGACTGGGCCAGGGCCCTGCTCGGCCCCACATTTGGGAAGAGTTTTTGTCACCACAAATGGGGGTGGGTGAAGCCACTCTGGAGCCCTCCCAGGCTGGGGACAGTAAATATTTCATGAAGCATCGCTCTGTGGTGGTTTGACTCTTCTGGATGGCAATGCAAATGGGCCTGATTCAATCTTCCCCCTGCCAGAGCATCCATAGGGATGGATGTGCCTGGATTCAGCCCTTGGAGGGCTGCTCCAGAAGCCTCAGGGAGCCTTCTGGCCACATCTCCAGGCTGGGATGCACAGGGAGGTCCTGCCTGTCCCCATCATCCCCATGGCGGGGACAGGGATGGGGGCAGAGACAGGGCAGGTCCCCCCAGGCACAGTCACCCTGTGTCCTTGAGCCATGACCATGAGTGTCCCTGCTCCAGGATGTGACATGGCATCAAGACAGCCACGGGCGTCAGGGCATGTCGGGGGGCTCACCAACCCCCCACTAAAGACAAGGACACAGGCACTCACCCCAGGGCTAGCTGGGGATGCCACCAACTGTAAAGAGGAGCGGTATGGGGCAGGACTCTCGTGGTGGGGAGAGCGAAGGGCTCCTAAGGGTGACCCCAGCCATGGCAGCACCTCCCACCCCACGCAGAGCAGGGACACAGGTGGGGGGACACGGCTGAACCACCACAGTCAGGCTGCAGCAGCCCCCAAGGCCCTGGGGGTGGCAGTGCGGTGACAGTGGGACCCGCTGCTTCCCCCCTGCCCCGGAGCAACGCCGCTGCCTCGAAGCAATTGCAGAGGAGGGAGRGTGCGGCTAAAAATAGAGGCGGGCAGCCGAAAGGCTCCCCGCGGGTGATTTATTTATTACCCGCTCGCTAATTCCTGCCTGGGAATCACGGCAGGGTGGGGCAGGAATTTGGGTGAGCCACGGTRGGGCCAGGGCGGTGCACGCGGAGACAGGGGTCAGGAGAGTGGGAAACTCCCCGGCCGTAGGCTTGGGGACAGGATGCTGAGGGTGCTCAGGGCTGTGGGACCCTGCAGTGACCCCACCCGGGGTCACAGGGGCTCCCCGCCAGCCGCCACCGCGGCCCGGGTCTTGGCGGGGGCACAAAGTGCGTCAGACCCCTGGCAGCCCTCCCCCCGTCCCCAAAAACCCGCCGCGGTGGCCCTGGTTCCTCCAACCGCCGCCAAGCCCCGGCCATATGTCCCAGGCTGGGGAGCAGCTGGCGGTGTCAGCAGGAGCCCCCGGMCCCCGCAATCGCCGCTGCCCACCCGCCGGCACGGGGCGGGCCGGGGGTGGCACCGCCGCTGTACCCCGTGGGCAGGGAGGGCTCAGAACCCTATGAGAGCCATGGAGGCACCAGGACGACAGCACCTGGATCCCAAAGAATAGCGGGATGGTTCAGCCCAGCCCTGCCAGGGGGGTACCCCCGGTGGTGGCAACCCAGCCCACCCCGGGACCCCCAGATACCCCCGCGTCCCCCTCCGGCACATCGCGGTGGGGGCAGAGGAGCAGCGCCCGGCGCTGGGGGGGGATTTCCCCCACGCAGGATCGGGCCCGATGCCACCCGTGGGGTGTCCACAGCGCAAGGGGAGGCACAGGGGCTAGCACAGCCGCGGGGACATGCGGGGACACGCGGGGACACTCGAAACTCCCCGGCCCGCCACGACGCTGGGGAATCCCCGGCTGGTCCCGGGGTCTCCCCGAGAAAATCCCTCCCCTGAGCCCCACCGGGACACCCAGGGGCCGCCGCAGGATCCGGCCCGCGGGGACGCGGGGACAGCCCCGATGTCTCCCCAAAGGTGGCAGAGACAGGCTTGATCCTCCTCCGCGACACCCCTAACCCAAGGGGGGACCCCATCCCTCCTGCCTCAGGAGGGGACCCGCAGCCGGGGACACGTACCTGCGTGGGGCCAATCGGGTGCCTGGGGCTGGGCTGGAGGCTCCCGCGGGATGCAGCAGAGGGGATCGGGCTCCCCGTGCCCCCCCTTTGCCGCCAACGCGCCGGCGTCCCCAGACAAAGCCGCTGCGCCGGGTTCTCCCTGCGCCTCCCCCACGCGCTCGGCTCAGCCAAAAGGACAAAGCCGCTCCGCCTGGCTGCCCCTGCCGGGCCACCGCGGACCCCCCGCCCGGGGCCGCCAGGGGGGGACACGGGGGTCTCCGCTGCCACTGGCACCGTCACAAAGCCGTCAGCAAGGGGGGGTTCCCCAAAGCTCACAAATGCCCTTGTAGAGCACCGTGTCTCCACTGCAGGGCGGGGGTCCCTGCCACTGAGGAGGGGTCTCTGCAGTCCCCGCGGCGCCCACCCTGCACAGGGTCCCCAGTGTTGCGCCAAGGTCACCGAGAAGGTCATGAGGGGTGGGGAGGCCCCCGTGATCCCACGGTCCCCACTTCGACAGCTGTGCCCTGCACATCGAGGCCACAAGGACCACGCGGTGCCAGAACCCGCCGGGAGCCCCTGATGCTCATCACAGGCTTGGCACCAGCCCTGGGGCCCACTGGCCCCGGCGGCTGCAGAATGTGCCACCGCAGTGTCACAGTCGGGTCGGTCGAGGATCTTTGTGGCAGGGGGTTCCCCTGGTTTTGGTGGTGCTGAGCTGGATGTCACCCCATTGATGTCCCCCGATTGGGGCACTAGGACCACCCCAGCAGCTGGCTGCCACAACTGGGGGAGCCTTGACCACTCACAGCCCCTCCACTGCCCTTTCGTGACAGCAGCCACATTGTCCCCAAGGACGGAGACCCACAAATCCCCTAACTCAACCAGCTGTGGATTGCTCCGAGCAGCCGAGCCCTGCAAGGAGGGCATCCCCACTATCCCCACTCCTGTCACTCCTCCGGCAGGGTGTCCCTGATGTCCCCACACCCCAAACCCCGCAAGGAGTGCGTCCTCGCTGTCCCCACACTCGTCACCCCTCAGGGAGGACATCCCCGCTATCCCCACATCCGCAGGGAGGGAGTCCCCACTGTCCCCACGCCCCACACTGGGGAATGCCATGCGCGGGGAGCCCCCCGCTGCCTTCCCCGGGGTGTCCCCCCCCGCCGCCGCCAGTGCCCCGCCCGCTCACTTGCCACTGCCCCGTGCTATGGAGAGCGTCGGGACGCGCCGGGGGGCCCGAGGGGCGGCAGGGACATGTGCCGGGGAGCGCGGGGGCGGCAGGCGCTGGCGGCTCTCGGCGCGGCGGAGGAGCAGCACTGGCGACAGCAGCCTGTGGGAGCCGCGGCGCGGGGGGGACCGGGGGCTTCCCCGCCCCACGCCCCCGCGCCCCCCCCGGCAGGGCAGTGACCTTGAGACCGCGGCGCTGGCGGTGGGTGGGAGCCGAGGATATTTTTAGCCGGGCACAGTCACTCCTAGCGCGTCCTCATTGTCACTGCCGGGGGCTCCTCCCGCGCCCCCGCTGCCCCAACGCGACCCATCCCCCGACGCACGGGGACCAGCGGGCTGCGCACGGGGGCGGCTGAACACGTCCCGAAGGCCCCGGACCCTCAGAACACCGGCGAACCCTCGGGGAAGCCCCCCATGGTGACTACTCCCCCAAACGCCCCGAGCCCCACAGCGCCAGGGGCTTCCCACGAGCTGGGGGATCCTTATGAGACGAGGGATTCCCAGGAATCAGGGATTCCCGAGAGTCACGGGGCTCCTCTGCAACAGTAGGCCCCCTGGAACTCAGGCGGCGGGGGGGGGGTCCCCACCCTCCCGGACCTCCCCCCAGTTCACCCACCTGCAGCCAGCCCTCGGCCTCCGCTGCCCTCGGGCACTGCTGCCGTTGACCATGGCCCGGCGGCGGCGGCACGTGCGGCGCGGAGCCCGGGATCCCGGGAGGTTCTGGTGGCACAACCGGGAACCGGGACTGACCCTGAACAGCGGCCCCGCGGTGCCGCCGAGCCCCTCACGGCCGCCCCGTGCCTCGGTTTCCCCAGCGCGTAGCCGGCGGCGGCCGCGGGGGCTGCGGGCGGCGATGCGGCTCCTTTGCGATGCCTCTCACACGCGCAGCCGCGCACACCCGCCCCACCGCCTCCCGGGGCTTCCCGGTTCTTCCCGGAGCCTCTCGGCCGCCGCCGCGGATAAGATTCAGCCACCTGACGGGGTCCCCCCCCACGCGCGTCGCCGCACGCGCGGGGCCGGGGCAATCGCCCACCCGCAGCACTCACCGCGCTGCCCCCCTCCCCGAGGCTCCCACCCGGCCGGGGAGCCCCTGGGGACGCCCCTGGTGACACCGGCGAATCCCCGAGGGTGGCCGTGCACACGCGCGTGAGGAGAATCCCCCCAAACCATTCAGTGTCATCCTAGGGGATGTTGCCGGTGGGGAGGAGGGGAGGAGGCCCGGGCTGACCCCCGGGTTTGGTGTGTGTCACACACAAGCGTGGGCACCTGGGGCGGAAGGTGG